TCCTGCTGGCTTCAGCAATCATCAGATCCTTTTCTGAGCCAATTTAACTCATTAGTAAGAACTAATACAATTCTCCAGCTTTTCTCCAGTGTGTGGGGCATGGGGGGAGACGTAAATGAATTGTGAAAGAGAAGGAAGAAAGAGGGGATTTCTTTCCCCCGTGCCCCGCCACTGGTATGTGTACTACAGTGGTTCACAGACGGGTGCACACATGAGTACGTAGTCCAAAAGCAAAAGGAGGAAAGAGAGGAAGAGGGGAGCAGAACCTTTTGGAGGAAAGTGCTGTTAATTCTCCTTACTGCCTCTGGAGGGATTGTGCCCATACTCAAACACAGCTTTCTCATAAAGCTCAGAAACCAAAAGGTAGTGATACAGAAATGGGAAAAAACTAAATATCAAAGAAGTTTCAACCAAATACAGTTGTATTTTGCACTTCTGTGAGACAGAAACTTTGCAAGTATGTTCCACTCTTTCAGACAATAAGATAATGTTGAGAACACTTTCATCTTTTTTCAGGCTACTAAATAAATCATCAGAGAGAGAGTACCTGAATCTTCACTGGTAGTTCATCAGTACTGTCCACTGGCCCCCCTCTAAAGTTAGAAAAAAAGACTTTTAAGAACAGTAAGTTTATAGTATCACCATTGCTACTTCCATTTCCAAACACAGGATTCTACAACAGGTGAAGCAGTAAGAGTACAAACAGCATCAGACATTGCACTGTATCTCTTCAACAGTTATTATATCCTCATTTTGTTCCATTAGTACTCCTACTTAATAATGAATTAGAGCAACATTACTGGATGCTAACATTAGTATCTTCAACAGGCAACTTGCTTAGTCAATTATTATGAACTTCAGTCAACAGGAGAATTCGGTGTTCAGCATTTTGAAACACAAGTTTAATAAAAATAGTTATGATAGAGTATTAAGTAACTTTTTGTTTAAATATTTACATAGCCTGTATTTTGAGAAGCCAAGGTCTAGGGACTACATAAAAAAACCCTCCAAAAACAACAACAAACCCCAACTGTTTCAAAAGGAAGCATGATACTATTACAACTTCCATGTATAACAATTTTTAATTTTTTTTTTTTTTTACTTCATAGGCTTAGACGATCACAATAATTACGTTGGCATTTGGGGAGATGGAGCAGAAAGAAGATATGAAAAAAATACCTAGGCACCTCAAACTGGATGCCAAATCAACTTACTACAAGCTTAGAAAACTAAATTGCACCTTCGGCTTATGGTAAATTTGATAAACCATTAGTAACAAGGGAAAAGCAAGATGGGTTTGGTAGTGGGGGGTGGTTTTTTTGCTACACCTGGCTATTCCTATGGCCATCAAACTACATCTTTTTGTGTATTTTAAAAAGTACTGGAATAGAATTTATGTAACATCCTCAAAATTTATATAAACAGAAAAAAATTATGGATGCAATATGAAATTCTATGTGTAACTTTCAAATATGTATTTTAAAAAACTAACACTGCTCTCTACTACATTTATCACACAGGTTTTATGCTTTAATATTTTCCCTTGTACTATGAAAACCTCACCGGCATCTCTTTGCACGTTCTGCAGTCCGCCAAGGCAGGAAGCCTTTTGTGCCTGGTGGCAGTGGTTTTGGTAAGTAACTATCTTTCACTGACATATTTTTTTTCCCGGGACTTACAGACTTTTTAGACGTTAATCCTGTATTGAACAGCAAGAACAGGAGAAAAGAGAATTCATTATACCTAGTTATTTACATATAAATTCACAGCTGACTGTTCACAAGTAAAATCTCCTATGTAATAAAAAGGACTGTAGAAAAATCTATGTTTCAGTCTAATTTTGCTGAGTGTTAAAAAACTTTGGGTTTGCTTCTCAAAAGAAGGGGTGGACAGCTTGTCTGCTTGCAATATAAGCTGGTATACTTAACTGTTATGTTAGGTCAATCTAAGTAAGACGCACTGTTATTCAAAAAAGGAAGCACCATTTTGTAGCTAAAGACGTTTATTCAAATTACTAACTTCAGATACCCAACTGTTGTCTCAAGTGGGAGCTTTGACAATTCACGTAGGCAGTAAGGATAACTACGTGCTTCAAATTGCCCTCTAGTGGCTTTAGTGTGAAGAACGTTGGTTCTGTAACTGGCAAAACGCTTGAAGCTAAAGCTCATACTCATGTTGACTACTTCTACAGAAAACCACCAATATCTCCTCTATCTAAGAGGAATAATAATGAAAAGTCATGTTCACTAGTGAAGTCTTTTATTGCTGTTTAAATTACACAACATCACTCAATGTAGATTCAGAATAAATACCTGGTGTGGATGATTACTCTGCCTCAGGTTCTGTATAAGTCAGAAACTACCAAGCCTAAATAGCCATTCACCTAGTATTTCATACAGTTAAACTAGTGAGAACTCATGTTATTGTTTCTCGGAGATAATTAGATCAACTGATTTTGTAATGGCATAGGAATGTGTAACTGCGGTAATGGGATTCCAAAATTCACTCAATTTACTTGTTGAGTTTGTTCTCAACAAGTAAACAGGATAGAGTAGTTCACCCTAAAAAACACCCCAACTATATTTGTCAGGCATTTTCTTTTTCCATCACCTGATCACCACAGTTTATCTGTACAAAGACTTCAATTTGACCTATTCTTACCTCTCTTCTTCCAGATAACTACAGCAAAGATGAAGGACAGCCAAATGTACTAAGCGAAACTTTTAGTAACTTATTGAAAAATATTTAGTGTATCGCAGCTATCAGTACTTAATTATAAATATTCAAGATACCTATATTATTTTAAACATACTATTTATAATAGGTTTACATGAAGTTTTAAACAAAAAATTTAGAACATTTTGTACGTCAGTAAAAAATGCACGCTTGTTTGTTCTGGCAGAGGACAGTCTGCTACAGAAAGGTACAACATTAGAAGAACTAAGCAACTTACTACCACCAAGCTTCCTGGAAGTGAAAGCTTGCAGACAAGATGCACTTACACTGTTTTTCCAGCCGCATATCTAGCAGTACTAAAACAAAGACCAAGTCTCCTACAGAAGCCACTGATGGTAGAAAACACATTACTGAATTAAGGATAAATGGAACTTTTTTTGAAGACAAGTATTTTGCAAAACACTGACATTTAGACACATTGTATACTTCATAATTAAAGCTCTTAAACACTAAAAGATTATTTTGTAGGCAAAAATTACTGTAGTCAGAGAAAACACAGACAGTATTACCAATACGAATAGTAGCTTTCCCTTTTCGACCACTTCCTAGGACAATAGTTCTTTTCTTTGGTCTAGTTTTCAAAGTATCCTTGGAAGATGGAGACGTCATCCACTTATACTGGAAATTTTGTTTTTTAAAGAAAGAGAAATTGTTATAGTAACATTTAAAGAGGTGCTCATTTAAGATTAGAGAGGTTTTTGTCAGATACATAGAGAACACTCCTAGTTACAGAAAACGTAATAATAAACTGTAAAATTAAGGAAAAACAAAAATCCCATAATGCCCCAATGCAAACATGGACTCAGTGTGAGTCTGAATGCTACATTATCAGAAACCGTTCCCAGAACACCACTATAATATGCCATCCAATATTTTCCTTTCTCCTGTGAAAAACACTTCTCCTTTTATAGTAAAAAAAAAATGGCATCAACCCTACAAAAAGGAAACTGGCTCTTGTATTTCATTCACAGATAGCTGGCTTGCTAGGAATGACAGGCTCAGGCCAAAGTTCTCCAGAGTAATAAAAGCTTTCCTAACATGACTTAGTATTACCAATAAAGTTAGTATTTTAAAAAATACAAAGTTTAATTTTCACTGCCTATAATGAAAATTCATCCTTACACAGTAAAAGCCTCTAAACTCAAATTATGACACAGTGATAATCAACGGCAATTGCTGTACTTCAAACTTAGCTTCCTTACAGCAACAGCTCTTTTCTTAAAGGTTCCCCTTTCCCCAATAATAGTTTTATTATTCCAGGTAGATACTCTTAAGTTACACTGTCACATTTTTCAGTATGCATGAAGCTGTAGTTAGTACAAAGTCTAGCACTCAAGCAGGTGTCGAAGGAACTGCAGTTGATATTAACACAAAGCTCATCTCAGACAGCCCTAAACACCACATCACACTACTAGAAACAGTATGACGAAATTATTCCCAACTAATGTGCAAAGAAGATTAAAATGCCATTACTGTGCTCTAACTAAGTGTAGTCCAAGTTTATCCTTGGCAAGAATTTTTTTTTTTTTAAACTTTGGACTAAAATATTCCTTGTATAAGCTGGATCTAGCTAGGACCAACAGTCCTGGCTGACTGGGGAGGTTCCACTTGGCTGGAGGTTGGCAAATGTTATGCCCATTTACAAGAAGGGCTGGAGGGAGGATCTGGGGAACTACCGGCCTGTCAGTCTGACCTTGATGCCAGGGAAGGTGATGGAGCAGATCATCTT